CCCCCCCCCCCCCCCGCCAAAAAAAATATTCCGTGTTTCCACTACTGTCCTTTACGAACCCTTAAGAAATTCACCTCCCATGGATATCACATTTCTACACCTGTGTCAGAAACTTTTCCCTAGAACAGTTCTTAACTAGGGGTTAAGTACCTCCAGAACATTTAAATGCTGCCATTGCTAGTTATTGCCTTTTTTAAAAAAAAGATAAGTTTTTATGCACTTCTATTAGCAGCAGTACATGTTTTTCTGGTGAATTTTGTCTACGCATTACTTGTATTGGTAATTTTTTTCCTTGTTTATACAAAGTTAATTTAAGAAATAAAACAATGATAACTAAATTATTTTATTATTGTCATATTTTATTTTTTATTACAATATAATTTATACCGTTAGGAGGGGGGGGGGGGGGTTAAACAGAGTGGGCCTGCAGCACTGCAAAGAGGTTAAAAATCCCTGCCCTAGAGCATTTACTAAGATTAACACCCCCCTCCCCTCCCGAGTCAACCATTTTTTTCGTTCTATAAAACAATGATAACTAAATTATTTTATTATTTTCATATTTTATTTTTTATTACAATATAATTTATACCGTTAGGAGGGGGGGGGGGGTTAAACAGAGTGGGCCTGCAGCACTGCAAAGAGGTTAAAAATCCCTGCCCTAGAGCATTTACTAAGATTAACACCCCACTCCCCTCCCGAGTCAACCATTTTTTTCGTTCCATTCCACTTCACTTGCTAGTCCTAATTCTATGAATCCCGTCTCCACATATGGACATAAATTCTCTCAATTGTCAATGTCACTACACCCATTTTCTCCTCCTCTGTGGTAGTCTTTAACTTGATCAGATGCCATTTCTCGGACCTCGCATAACTGTACTGATTCTCTCAGTGATTGTAGTTTAAAAATAAAATAATTATAATTGTTGTATAAAAGAATTATGTTAACAATGTCTGTAATTTTAATTTAGGGTTATTAAGTTCAATTCTTTACTATAATATTCCGCTTTTCATGTGACGCTTAAGCCCTCCTCCCCCTTGTCACAAAAATGTTAACTCCCCCTCTAGGTGACTGACATCATTTATGGATGGTCCCAGTGTTCACACTAACAGCAAATGCCATATGACCATTTTTAAAAAAAATTCTGTCTTGTGACAAGCTTGGCAACTTAGTAAAAAAATAAAATAAATGCCAAAGCAGCAGGTACAACCTCCATTTATTTAAAATTATGAATTGGCTATAGGGAAACCACGTCCCAGAAGTGAGAGGTTGGGACTGGGATTAAAAAAATATTTAAAATATTTTTGTTGGGTTGTAAGACAAAATTTGGTATCATATGATACTAATGATAGATAATTGAATGGATTATATGTTTATAAACTTACTTCTTCAGTTCAATTAAAATAAACTACCACAAATGACATCCGAATCATTTAGTCTAAAGGGACCTGGGTCCGAATAGCGGTTATGTGTGTCCGGATAATTTTTTTTTAGTTAAACTGAAGTAACTTTAGTAAGTTTACAAAAATATAGTCCATTCAATTATCTTTCATTTGATACCTAATTTTCTCTTTATAACCCTAAAATAATTTTTAAAAATATTTTTTAATAAACCCAGACTCGCCAGACCAGACCCAAACTCTCACTACACTACTAACACCTGGGTCTGAATAGTGGCAGCCTTAAAATTAAGTTCTTGCCCCTAGTGAATTCAACAATTACAAAAGTGTATGTTCGTAATGATTAAATTAATAATGTCCTTAATAATTAATAAGATTATTATAACATAACGACTGAAAAATTATAAGATAAATAGGAGTGAGATACTCACTGGACTGCAGTTTTTGTCACACTCGGCACAGACTGCAGTGCAGTGGGGAAAAAAAAAATGTACACCCAAGAAATAGTCGTAATCAACAGTTATCTGTAAGCCTAATTATTATGCTGGCTACTTACTTAAAGGCCCCACCAATATATGTGGCCCTTAAATTGCTAGTAAAAAAACAACTAATGATAGTAGCTATTAATACTAATTACTATAAACACTTTATGTAATCAGCATCACCATGTTACTGAACCTGGGCTTTCTCTTTATTCTGATTGTTCATTGGTCGAAAGTTATCATCAGAGTCAGCGTTTCTCAATCTCTGATTTTCGAGTTGTAGGAATATAATTATCTTTTTTTAAACGATTTAAATTTTAGAATATATCAACTAAATTTATAATAAATAAAATTATTTTAAGTGAAAACTCTTTAGAGGGAATGACAGTGAATATATTAAATTATAATTAGTTATTTTTTACGTAATTAATTGAGAATGGCTTGTTTTAAATATAACTATATATTTTATTTTTAGAAACAGAAGAGTTCTTCGGAATCTAAAATTACATTTGTACCCTTGCCTACCAAGAGCTAAGATGGCGAAGGTCGTAACTTATTTTACAAGTAAAGGGAACGGTAAGTTATTATATTATTAAGACATGCAATTTGAGTATTTTAAAGAATTAGTTTGCTGAATTGGGTCCTTTGTATATCAAGAACAAAGCACAGGTGGCTTACAGTCACAGTTTGCTCTGTTAACACAATATGTTCAGGTCACAACCAATTATCGATATGCTGTCTAAAAGTAGGCTATACTACTTAAATCACATACTCATATACATTATTATGCTTCTGTTGCGTCCTGTTGCCTCTTCAAAACTGGTCCACTCCCCCATCCATCAATTGAAGGTTTACAGAATCCAGTTTTAAATTGTTATTGGCTATTAAGATTTCTTCCAACCTGTTACTATTACACACTCACACTGCAAGGTCAGGTTGGTTGACATTTATCATTTATGAAATTTAAATTAATTTATAATTGGAAAGTGTGAAAGTGTCTGTTGAATGTTTTGATATTTTACAAGAGCGTAACTGGCAGTGGACATTTTTTATATTTAACAAGATCATTGCTGCCTGTTGAAAAAGTGTCTGTTTGTAAAAACTGACTAAGCAACTGCTCTATTGAATTAGTATACCACAGTTTAGTAATACAAGTAGAAGTCAGCAGAAAGGGGTAAATGTTTGGTGAGGTGTCAACTACTCGCTGGCAAATTATTTTACTAGAACTTTCAGTTTACCATGCTCGTGACTGGGTATTTGAATCGCACTGAATAAAGTAATTATTTCTATGCTTTACTGTTAATGTTTGAATTTACCACCTTTATGTATAAATAACAAATAATTTATTGTATAAAAACTTATAACAAAAGGGTGCTAGACTTATTGTAAACTTAATTAAGGACGCCATAAATATTTGCATGAAATCTATACCAAATCTGTATCAATAGTCTTAACCAGATACATTTCTTTTTTTTTAGCCATTCTTACTGCAGCCAAACCCAGGTTAAACACAGTATGGAAATATGCAAAAGTTGAGCTTCGCCCACCTACAGTAAAAGAATTGCCAGAAGTTCAAGTTGGGATCCAAAAATTGATTGTGTCCGGAACAACTGGTAAATGGAGGCATCTCACAGTCAAGGTAAGTCAGTCGTCACCTGCTGCATTAAAATGAGCTTCTTCACTTAAGCTATCACGCAGTTGACAAAGGGGGTGGATGAGTTTGACATTAGTTCTAATTTTTCTAGTGTGTTCCCTACATCACCACTTTCATTTACCTATGTATAATTTATTTAAATCTATAGTATGCCATTAAGTGGGTTCTAAATGCTAGGTGGATGGCTCTTGCTTTAAAGTGATGCTGCTTTTAAATTTATAAAGGTGCTTAACATATAAAAAATTGCCTCACACTGGGTATAAGACTTCAAAATTGTCTTTCTTTATTGTGTTGTTTAATAAATTAAATGTTAAGAAACTTAAAGGTTTGCCTCTTGTTTGCTTTATCAATAAACGATCTTCTACACTTTTCAGGAAGCATGGTTGAATACATTGGTCGGGGCTGAGATACTTTTTTGGTTCTTTGCTGGAGAGTGCATTGGCAAGGGAAGCATCATTGGATACAACATACCCGGCGCCACAAACTGGGACATACATTTTTAACATGCCTAGATTTTCCAATTCTTGTGTTTGTATGAGTGATGGACATTTCAGATCTACGACAAATAGGTTGTTATGTAGTAGTCATTTGTCAAAGAAGTATGAGCTTATTTTGTTAACTGGTTTTGGAAGAGAAAAAACTTTAATTCTTCAACACAAATGGACAGAGTTGAAGCATATTAAAAGTGCATAAATTTTATTTGAGAATTGTTGAATTGGTTTTTTTTTCTTTTTAAATGGACATAGTTTTGTCTTGTACTTGTATCTAAATTTGTACTTAAAATTAATTTTGACTTTTTAAAAATCTTGATAAAAGTCAGAGGGAGATGAAATAGCCTCATTCAGATACAAATATAGACTCGGATTCAGATACAAACGTAATTTTGATGTTAAATAATGCTGTGATTAACATAACCCAATTAAAGATCAGTCCTGCTACTTTTTAATACCACCTCACCCTGGTCACTGCACCCACAAGAAACACTAATATTGTAGGGCATTTCAATTCAATATTTCACAATTATTACTTTTCTCCCTTATTAGTGTAAGAGGTTCCAAAAATATCTAAATTGTGCTTGATCGTCTAAGAAAAGTAGGCTTTACGATGATTTGATTTTTTAAAGAAATAGCACATTAGATTATATTATATACTGTTTAAAAAATATTTTTTGGGGATTATATTTTAAACTAAATTATTTAGTTTTGAAAAAAAATATTTCAAATTGTCAACCTCGTGACTGAAAATTATATAGTCAACACTTGGTTCCTCTAAAACTTGGGCCAACCTCTCTATATGAATAGAGCATTAATAAAAGCAATGATGGACAAGATCTGCTATCCATGGATTTGGAGTAGGCTTGTCTGCTCCGGACAAATTTTACTTTGCTCCAGAAAAATTGAAAAACTAATTTTATATCAAATATTACGTTTGCACAGATTGATCTGCAGATGATCGGTGTTAAGTCTAACCTGCCCTTTTGTCAATTTATGTCCAAGTTAGTCACATAGTGTCCTTAATGACCAAGTTAGTCACTGTTCTTTTTATTATTTTTTTGTACCACATGCTTAATTGATAACAACATATTAATTTGCCGTTAAATAGCTGGAACGCAATTATTTAAAATACAATCCATTCCAAAGGATCACGATAATTTTTTTATCAGGGAAAGGTGGTTCAGGGGATGTTTTTAATGGAATATGTTCAGTAGTGTCACTTACAGTACGGTACCCATCTTATTAGAAAAATGCATGAACCAGCAAAATATCTAAATATCTGGCAGAAGAGTGGGGCAACGCACCTGATGGAAAGGGTGGGGCATCAATTTTTTAAAAATTAATTTTTTTAAAATTGAGACTCACCCCGAGTCCCACTTTTCTGCTATCTTTAAATTTAAAATCCATAAATAAAGTAAAATACCTTTGACACTACACTGTAATTACTGTACCGTAATAAAAGGGAGAATACCCTTCGGGGCAAACAAATCTGTAAATACATAGTAATAGTATACCGGTACTCTCCTTGATTTAAAAAACAGTTGCACAATTATAATGAACAAAACGTTTTAATATTTCTCGATTTCCTGATCAAACCAATGTATTAGTATGTATGGAACAAGTTTTTATAAAGACATGAAAACACAACAACAACAAAAAATTCAAGTCAGGATCAATAATGCTGCGTAACTTTAAAAAGAAATGTAAAATTACCATACTCAATAAACATTTATCATAAGTCATAAGCTGTTTAATAATAACTTTTTTGTTTGTTTTTGTCAAAGATAAATAGATGTGTGCTTTTGTTCCAGATATTTGGGTGATGATTGATTGGATCGGACGGATCCTTTTACGGCAGCGGCAGTCCCGTATCGAATTGGCGAGGGGTGAAGATGTAGGGCTATGAAAAGGGGGAGGGGTGTGGTGGCGCCCTAAGAGCGGTACATCGAAAACACGATGACGAACATCTCAAGGTTGCGCAGACAGACAGAAAAGCTCTTATTGTCCATTGCTAAATATGTCAACACATGAACAGTAGGGGGTGGAGGTCGGTGATATGACTGAGGTCTCAGGATTCATCGTGTGAATAAAAATGATTTGGCGAATTGTGAAATAAAATGACAAACACAAAATAATAATTTCTGTTGTATAACTTGTGTGATTTTTTTTTAAAATAGCTCAAATATGATTCAAATGTTGTTTTTTTAAAAAAGATTTCAAGTAAACGATGCACGGTGGTACCATTGAAATGTCAGAGACTGGCAGTGGTTCCAGTTTTTGAGACTGACTTAAGATAATCACGGTGACAGAAACAATTTAACGTTTGATGGATTGGACTGAGAGTACCAGACTTTGCACAATTTTAATACAAGAGGGTAGGGGTGGTTCATCATTTAGTTATATTGTGTTATATAGGTGTGTGGGTGGGCAAGAGCAATGTGATATAACAACTATCGGGGACAACGCAACCACTCTGCGCCTGTAAAATATTGTAATAGGCTATTGGGGCGCCGGGGGGGGGGGGGGGGGGGGTTGTTGGGGTTTGGTCTTGTTTGGATTCGGGATAAACCCGTACTTGTGGGTTTGGGATACGCCTATGCACTATGTTCGCCCGCCTTGCTCGTCCCGATTCTAATTTTTTAGGGGGGAGGGGGTTGGGGGGGGACCTTTGTTACCCAAACTTTTCAACCTTTTGAATACTTACTGACAGAATTGATAAGGACTTTTTAAAGAAAAAAATATGTATGTCGTGTATACAAGGTCAACATCAAACAGAAAAAGTAAGTGTTGGGTGGGGGAGGGGGGGTCACTTCCGCATTTATTTTAAGACACGCCTTTCTTGATGTGAATCTGTATCAAAAACAATGGCACCTTGGCCACATTCTGTATTTAATTTTTTTAAAAAAGACTCAACCCAAGTCTTTGCTTTTTCAAAAAAATCTTGCGGTTTTCCGTGCTCAGTTTTGCCGTATGCAGTTTTGCCGTATTCAGTTTTGCCGTGTGCAGTTTTGCCGTGTGCAGTTTTGCTTGTGCAGTTTTGCCGTACACAAACAAGTTATTAACTCATTGTACAACAAACAATGGGAAGGCTGCTAAGATTCAGTATTACCTTCTGGTGTGTGAATTCATCGTCTGACACCATGCAGCCATTAAGCAGACTCGTCAAGAAAACTTGTCACATCATGCAAACTAAACATCCCTCACTTGAAGAACTATTTGGAGAAAAATGCTGTTGTTAACTAAAAATAATTTGGATGACACATTCCACCCACTTCGTCAAAAATACCTAAGGTCACATCCCAACAACTTCATCACAAATACCTAAGGTCACATCCCACCCACTTCATCACAAATACCAAAGATCACATCCCACCCACTTCATCACAAGTACCTCAGATCTCATCCCACCCACTTCATCACAAATACCTAAGGTCACATCCCAACAACTTCATCGCAAATACCTAAGGTCACATCCCACCCACTTCATCACAAATACCAAAGATCACATCCCACCCACTTCATCACAAATACCTAAGGTCACATCCCAACAACTTCATCACAAATACCTAAGGTCACATCCCACCCACTTCATCACAAATACCAAAGATCACATCCCACCCACTTCATCACAAGTACCTCAGATCTCATCCCACCCACTTCATCACAAATACCTAAGATCACATCCCACCCACTTCATCACAAGTACCTCAGATCTCATCCCACCCACTTCATCACAAATACCTAAGATTACATCCCACCCACTTCATCACAAATACCTAAGATTACATCCCACCCACTTCATCACAAATACCAAAGATCACATCCCACCCACTTCATCACAAATACCTAAGATTACATCCCACCCACTTCATCTCAAATATCTAAGATACGTCCGATCAGGGCGAATTCTTTCTCTTACCGAAATAATAATCATGGTTTTTGTTCCACAGTCTGTGCGAATTTACCAGCGTGCTCCCCCCACCAGTTACCAAATTATGTAAACGATCACTAATTATGTCATTATTGTCACTAAAGAAGTTCATTAATGGCTGATTTCTAAGCTAGAGAAATAATTTAGGTGTCTTGTGTTTAAATTGTTATAATTGTAAAGTGTTGTCTTGGTTAAAATATTTATTTATGTGCAGAAAATGAATATGTACAGTGAAATTTAAATAAAAAACATTTCCATTTATTTGAATCAATAAAGACAGTCTTATTTCCATTTATTTGAATCAATAAAGACAGTCTTATTTCCATTTATTTGAATCAATAAAGACAGTCTTATTTCCATTTATTTGAATCAATAAAGACAGTCTTATTTCCATTTATTTGAATCAATAAAGACAGTCTTTTTTCTATTTATTACTCGGCTAATCTTGCGGTAGACTAAAAATCCGAAATGAGTTGTTCTTTACTTTATTTTTATAATTTTTTTTTAAATGAAAAATTCAAAGGGCTTGTTAGATTGTTAGGTGGTTCTGTCCCGAAATATGAGGTTAGGGGCCTTGATGACACGTCCACCCACTCAATTATAAATTCCCTTCTACGAGTTAAGTCCGCTGTTTGTCTGATTTTTTTAATTTAAAAAGAAATTTCAATTTAGTGTTCTGGTCGCAGAGGACGACATTCAGCCGAAACGTTCATTACACTGTCGTGTGTTTGCTATTGAAGCTGTAAGATATCCGTTCTTAAAATTTCATTCACCAATTTACCACAGGCAAATACAAAATTTGAAATGATTTTGTTTTTTTTTGTTTTTTTAAATAGAGTTGGCAATTGTGTTCGAGATAAAACTAAATAGAAAATTCTAAGTGTTGACATATTGTGTGGAATATTTGCCCAACAATCTTCTTTTCTTTTAATTTAAATAATCGGATAAGGGGGGGGGTGGAGTAGGTAGGACGATAAAAAAGTAGTGGGGTGGGGGGGGGGGCTAATCGGTTATAATCCCTTATTGAATGAAAATTCACCTTCGATTTTGTTTTTTCTTTTC